AGTCACCCATGGAGCCACCAAAGTCTCCAGTGTTGCTCCAAGAGCCTGCATATGCTGGGATAGGCGCATCCGGAGTGTGAATGGGGCCATAGTTTCCAGTGAAGTCACCCATGGAGCCACCAAAGTCACCATGGCTGAACTGCGAGTTTCCATGCCCAAAGTGGCTGGAGCTGCCCATGGAGCTTCCATGCACAAAGTGGCCGGCGCTCCACATGCCTCCATGTCCAAAGTGGCTGGAGCTCCATGAGCCTCCATGTCCTCGGAAGGACTTGCTTACGGAACTGGACGAATATGAACAAATTATATTCCCCGGAAGGGGATTCACCCATAGGGACACGAAAAATCAAGGAAAACCAGGTCCTTGAAACTCTCCTCCCCAGTGAGACCTCCAAGCTCCATGTCCACCGAAGTGTCCTCCATGCCCGGCAAAGCCGCCAGAGCCAGCCTGTCCTGGACGGGCTGAAGTGATCAACTAGTGCAAGCCAGATTGACAAAGCTGGGGTTGACAACTTCTCAAACAAATCTGCACTCAGAACTCTGTCTTTCACCTCTCCGGATTGCGGCTCTTTTGTCTTCTTCGGAGCTATGTCTTCTGTGGGGACCCCTTGAGAAATCACTCGCCAGTGTGCCACTAGTCCGAAAGCTACGCATGCGTAGAAAGGCTTATATGTTTGATATGTCATTCACCTACTCTGGGACTATAAACTTGATTTATGACCCTAGGATATTCTTCATGGTTCTCCAACGAGCTACGTCGCATAAGCAATATCAGCAGGTCCAGGCCCAATATAGTCTATTGCCCTCTACTCCCTGAAGCAGTCACGGAGGTGCACAGTCGCCCCCAAAAAGAGTGTTTTCCTCCTACGCGTAACAACTGTTTTTTGTCCACTTCCATGTTTCTTGGACAAGGATATATTGAATTGCATGTATCCCAAACACTCCATGGGACTGCCAGATATGCCGATCCCCCAAACCACCCCAACTGATTATGGCAGTCCCATGGACCATGGAGCGTCTGGGTATATATTATATTATCTATATTATATTATATCGCATTGGACTTCGCCTTCGGTCTTTCTCGACCACCGCATGAAACCCGACCGATATTGATCGAGAACCGGGGACCAGCGCGTTCCGGCCCAAGGTTCCAATGCCACATTGGTTCTGGCAATCGTCCGCGGGGAAGGGACCCTGATCTGCTGGGCGGCAGGCACCCCCCGAGGCTTCATAGGCTGACTGGCTCAGCTGGTGGGAGAGCTTGTGGAGGCAATGGAAGCCGCCTGTGGAGGCGGCAGGCGCGCACTAGGTCTGGTAGAGAGGTCTGACCGACCACGACGTGTGTATTAGAGAAGGGAGCTTTTGGGTTGTAGTCCAAACAGGTGTTCTTCCCCTTTATGATCTGTGCACATCCCTCGTTTCGCTAGTAGGTTGCAGGACACCGCTTTAGGTTGGAGGCCATCGCCTTTAGGTTGGAGGCCACCGCTACTAGGTCCTTTTACTAGGCAGGAGCGTTTCAGGCCACTTGCGTGCCCCGCCTGCGTTGCCCGGCTTGCTCCAATCGGCAGGGCATTGGTGCATCGTGCCGGACGGGCAGGGCTGGTAGGCCTACGGTGAATGGCAGCAGTGGTGAGGTTGGAATCAACGAAGCTCTGTCTGATTATTTGCCAAGAGGATCCACAAGGTGGAGAAGTGGTGTTACAATATATGAAACACCCAAATCTGCAAAGACATCATGGATTCACTCGACAATTGATCACCAGTAGGTTGCATGTCAGAAGGCAGCCCTTTGATGGAAGCACCTGAAAGCTTTTCATACATTCGTTTTGGGGGAGTGCGTGCATCCAAATTTTGGCGCACGGCACCTTGTGGGGTCCCACACAGTATACAAGAAGACTCTCCATTCGAGATAAGTAGAGATGTTGGACATTTTTGGACCATCCACATAAGGGGGCTCTCATTCACCAACAGCATCCATTACCTAGAGAAACTAAGAGATTCTTCATGAAAACCCCCGCATCCGCAGGTCATCCGCACCCTGCCCGGCCATTCAGGTTCTCCATCTCCACCTTGTCACTTCTTTGATCCCCAATCCCACCAACCAACGACCGCTGACGTTGATCCCAAACGTGTTTCGATCATGAGTTCGTCAAGGTGTTGTCTTTATGTGCGTTTTTGCGCCCTGCCACGGGCGACCAAAACGGGTGTTGCATCTCGCTCGATAAAAACCCCCGGTTCCGGAGACACATGAGGTTTGCGTCAGAGGTTTGCGTCAGATGTTTGCGTAGCTTTCTTCCCCATCACGTTCATGGTCACTATCATCAGATTCCGAGGAGCGTCGGCCTTTAGCCAAAGCCGAAGATTGGGAGATGCAAGTGTTGCAATTCTCCGGTACATGCTTCCCCTGTGATTATGGGGATAACTGCGCATTCAAACATATGAACATGGGTCCATTATCTAGTGGTTTTCTCAGATCTGCCAGAAACAAGACAGGGCAACAGCCCCTGGAGGCGCTAGAGGACAAATACCAACCCAGCAGCTCTGGCATCCCTACTGCACTTGTTCTTTCTTTCTTGGCTCACTTTCAAACCCGTGGACACACCAAACAAATCGAACTACTCCCATCAGCCCCTTCGAGCGACCAAAACTGCCATTGATGGTTTCAACTGACCTTCAAACAATCGTCATTGCTCAAAAGATATGTCTGAATCATTGCAGGTAGTAAAGGGGACAAACAAAAGCTGAAAAACAAACGGCCTGCATGGTGTCACATGGACCGAACGGTGACCCAAACCGAGGTTGTTTTTTGCCTGCGCGAACTTCTCCTCGACAGCCAAGAGGTTAGCGGTGGAGCCCTGTGCGAACTTCAAAAGGCATACCTTAATGGTCCCGTTCTTGGACCACAAGAGCAGGCTGGGAAGGTCAAGTGGTCTGGTTTTCTCACAAAACCCGTCGCGCTTAACCAGGAACATCGGACCACCTTGAGCATTTGGATCATTTTGAGTGCGGGTCATGTACTTGTTATTTTGGGTAACCCATGGGTGTCCCACCCTAAACCCGGGTAAACCTTCAGTCATCTCCGGTCTATTTTCCAGGCTGGTCGTTGAATTGTCGGGGACAAATCTGTCGGACTCCGACCAAGCAAAGCATCCCTGGGAAGCCTGGTAGGAAGTCCAGATATTGATCACCCAGTGAGTAGCGAGTTGAAGGAAACTCTGAAATCATAGCCACCGACTCTTGGAAAATAACAAGTATATCTTCTAAAGAGCTCTTTTCATGTTTCGGGACGTTCTTTCTTTTGTCTGGCCTTTTGTCTACTCATCCTCCACCCTGGCCGGTCCAGGTGGCGACGGCCACGAAGCCCAAGGCCAAGGCCAAGGAAAGGCCGCGGAGGAGCCAACGCTTGGACTGGGCACTCTCGGCGCGAGGAGGAGAGACCAAGGCTTGCGCTTCCTCATCCAAATAGCCATGGTCCATGAAGCCTGGAGTGAAAGGTGCCGGGGCCTGGTTTGGGGTATATGAAAGATTGGGAGGAAGGAAGGCCGAAAAGAAGAGCACCTCCTTTTTCGACAGTTCTTCTTAGACCTGGAGTCACGGTTGTAGACATGACCATTGATTTCTCATCAAAGTCTGTCCTTTGGGCTTTCAGGTGAAGATCCACCATCTACTCAAAGAACCTGATCCAACTTGTCTTCCCCTTCGCTTCGGCTATACGATTGAACTGACGCATTGAACGGTTGCACAGGTTATAAATGGTTATAATATACAGCAATTATCTGAATCTCGTCTTCATAGATTCGGGAATTACAGGTACCGGCCACCTCTGCCACCAAGCAGCGGTATCCTGAAGTCTCACTCTGAGTCATCATGGCGTCAACGATGGGAGATCTATGCCAAAAACGATGCGAGCAACGAGCTGAGCAATCTGAGCTGCGGGCCGTGCATGGCAGCTGAGACAGCTGTTTTTTCGATGCTATGAGTGTGTTCGTTTCTTTTCTCCCAAGGTGATGATCTGAGAACTGCAGTGGTTTCAGAGTAGATGGCGCAAACAAGAAACTGTCCTTTTGATGGATCGAGGTCTGTATGTTCACTGGCAACCCTGTCGCATGGGAGACCGAGCCCCTTGGGGTCTCCCGAGAGAGCACCTTCACGCGTTCCGTGCGAGCTCGAAAGCGATGTTTCGATCGCTCGCTCCGGAACTCGCTCCGGAGAGATGTCGCAGGCAACGCTCCAAGCTGCCCATTCTCCAAGCAAGTAGATGCTGCACCAGTAGAGTGCATCTGGTATGGACTGCATCTGATCCTGGACATCGACGGCAGGCCGCCAGGACGCGACATGTGCGGGGCAGTCCGCAAGAACTCATGTGGAGTTTCATAGTGTTTCAACCCAAACGACAGTAGTCAAATGTGGTACGAGTAGTGATAGGAAAAAAGAACACGGTGAAAGGGAATGTAGCAAACATGCTCACGGGAGCGTTTCAATCCGCCTTTGAAACAAATGACCTCAGCTCCTTTCTGATCAAGTGTCCTTTCTTCCGTGGCAGGGTCAAGCAAGCATGGGCATGTTGCACAACAAGGGGGTCATTCGATGATCATCGTCGCCACTCAATCGAGGCCACGAGACACCGTACGGATCCGATTGTACTGAGGAAGTATAGACTCCACTATATATACAGTATATGATAGTATATGCATGTGTGTGCAAGTACTTGGAAAGCTTGTAAGGCCAAATCAGTGGCCACAACTCTATGCAATAGAACTTTGGAATTAGTGAGTCCACCGCCAGCATGGTGTTTCTTCCTCCATCTGCAGCTGTTGAGATAAAAACAAAGCCAAAGGACGCCAAAGGCCAAAGGCCTAATAGGCCCCAATACGATCCAATATGCCCTTGATTACCCTTGGCATTCTCTAGGTACTTGAGTGAACTTACCCAAACAATCCATAGCAATGGCCAACATTTGGTGGATATTCCTGGTGAATGGCGGTCCTATTTGCCTACAGGATCTTCGTCTGTTAGCAGTTTTTGCTCTGTCGACCGCCTCGACCGCCGTCCCCCGTCGAGCGCTGCCCCCCCCCGATCGATCGTCAACGCTGTCGATCGAGAACTGCTCCTGGTCTGAGGGCTGGTCGTGTTCGTGATACATGTTCTCCAGCCAAACAAAAATGCCTCCGGCTTGTTCCGGCCGACGAGCGGTGTCGACGAAACTGTGAGGCATCCTCGCCACCATTGGCTGGCGGGTCGGCACGGAAGGTGACGAAGAAGTCTCCTGTTTGATGAGAAGTGATGTTGGAAGTGTTGCTGTCCGGGACCTTCTCAGTGATGTATTGAGATCCCAGAATGGGGTCACGAAACGGCCCTAGGCCTTGAAAAGGTCACTTACCAATCCTGAAGAGGTCGCTGAAAAGGTCCTGGGTATGAAGTGTTTGGCTTGAACAATATTAATTACGGAGCACCGCTCAAGTTAAGTCCATGACATACTTGCCGGTCGGTGGTGGTGGTTTGAACAGTGGGGAAGGTGGGCTTCTATACCATCTGGCTGAAATCGTGAAATAGAGGGACTCTTTTTTTCCTGGTGTTTGTTGCTTCTCTTCAGTCCCTTGTAGTACAAAAAGGGGCGCAACGTGCCATCAACAAATCATTATTCAAACAAACATCAAAAATATGACGAACAAACTGTAACAAACCCCTTCATGGTTGATCGATCCCCCCAAGGCCTGGATCTGCAAAACATTGTACCAACTTGGAGAGCATGCATATTTTTTGCGCCCAGTAGATGATGATGGGGTTAGGGAGAGCAGGCCTTTCCATCTCCAAAATAATGAGGTTCTTGTTTTCCTGTTACAGGTTTACTGGGGCAAACCCAATGCACACCGTAGATCCACCCCAACCAAGATCCACCCGAATCCAGGACTCCCAAATTCCTGTCCAAGTCGATTGCCTGCAGTGAGAACCCAAAGCTGAAGCGAGATCACCGCGGGCATCGCTAAGGAAGGCAGGGCGGCTTTCAGCGTCTGCTTCACCGCCAGCACTTCCTCATTGTGGTCGATCGATCTTGTTCAAACATGTTCAAACCAACGTGCGGCACCAACCCGGCCGAAGTGGAGGCACCTTCCGTGGCGCATGTTTCGATCGACGCCCCTTCCGCCTCCGTCCCTTCGGGCGAAGACGAACGGCTGAGCGGCGTGGATCGGTGCCGGGTGACGCGGCGGATCTGGGGCCAGTCCAGGACGCGAACCACTCGGCAGGCAGCCACACACTCGATGAAGGCTTCCATGCCTGTGGATGTGCGAGCCAGGAACTGTGCGGGTGCGGCCGCGGCTGAACAGGATGGCTTGGACCAGGTCCTGAGTGCCTTGCAACTGCCCCAGGGCCCAGCAGTTGACAAAATGACACCACTAGCCCAAAGACACCTCAAACTGCAGCATTTTCTCGCGATTTGCGATGCCAAAAACCAACAAACACCATGTCCGAAATTGAGTTTAGGAGACAACTCAAACCATATCAAACAATCAAATGCGGTGATAAACGTTTGTTGTCCCAAAAGAAACACAGCTACAATTCCTCTAACTGTGCAGGCGCCGAAGATCCATCCCACGTCCCGACCATCGCTGTTTTTCGGACCATCGCCTGGGGAATCCAGTTGATCCTTTAGAGACTTGGTCTGGAAGTAGATCCTCATCTCAGGGCGGCTGCGAGGGCATACACCAAACACACGCTCACCACGCTCACCACATAAAAATTGGCATTTGTTCAAGGAACCGGGAATAATCAAACATACGTCCCAGAAGGGGACTTACCCACAGGGAAAATAAGCAAATCATCCTAAGCAAAACTAGGTGTTCTGTGGTTCCCACTGTGGGTTCTCATGTGCCCAATCTGACGATCCTGGGGCCTTTATGATGTCCAACTTGTGCTAAGTATGGCTGGCAGTGTACTTTAAACCGTTTAAACTTTGGGGCCAATCGAGGGGAACATGATCGATCCAACTACATGTGGACAAAACCACTCAACAACCACTAAACCAACAAAAAATGTTCAAAAGGCCTTTGGATCCCTGTATAAGCTATAAGTTGGGTGTATCCCATTCCCTGTAACAGCGGATGGTGCTGGCTAGTAGTGGCCCTCCTCACAATAAAATATTGTATGACTATTATTACAGGTACTGGGGCACACACTAGCTATATATAAGGACATGGAATGACTAGAATGTGGGGAAGCCGGTGCCACTTTCCATGTCTATCCACGTGCCCCGTGTACTTCCATCGACCCTGAAACTCTGCTGCTTTCGGCCCCCCGTCCGACTCATTGCCGTATATTATGTGTTGCATTCGGATTGTATCCTTCGAAACCCATTGCATCACAATGGGTCCCAGAAAGATCCCTGAATATTATCCCGGCAAGAGACCCCAAACATCGTGTTTGAGGTCTCGAGGTGTTGGTGGTGATGAAGGTGAAGATCGTGGTGGTGGTGGTGGTGGTGGATCGGGGCTCACAAGCCGGGAAAGATAGGTCCACAAAGTATTGCACCTGCCACGGAAATCTGCGCTTCAAGGTCCACAAAGTACTGCACCTGTCACAAAATCTGCACTTCAAGTACTGCGCCTGCCACGAAATCCGCACTTCAAGGTCCACAAAGTACGGCGCCTGCCACGAAATTTGCACTTCAAGGTCCACAAAGTACTGCGCCTGCCACAATTTCAGAAAACGAGCCACATGTCCAAAGGTCACGATTCACTGCGCCTGCCATGAAATCAGAACATGCCGAAGACCACCATGTCCAAAGTACTGCGCCTGCCACAAAATCTGCACATCGACATCAAACTGCTCCGATCTCCTGAACCTTTCACAAAAAGTCGATTTTAGACCACCAAAGCCCGAGGTTTCCCTTGCGCCTGCTACGAAAAGTGATCGCCAAGTCCCAAAATGCGCACGGCACCACAACGAGAGCGCACCTCCGTCAAGCACCGTGACCCTGTGCAGAGAAATTGCACTTGGAAATCTCAGAACGGAACTGTTCTGTGAGCCTGCGCAGCCAAAACGCCGAGCCCAAAGAGCGTACCCTGATCGAACTGGGCTTTTATACCGACCGTAAGAACTCGTAAGAACCCCTAGTGTGGACACACTGTTTAGGGATCCTTAAACAAAATCTCTCCCCACCTTCCCAGCTTAGACTCCGGAGGAAGGTGGGAAAAAGGCACACGAAGTCGATGAACCGCATGGGCGTGGTGAACACACCTTGCACGAGGAAGCCGGCTGAAGCGCACGAGGTGACGTACTTGCGCCGTGACTGGGTGCCTGTGGGCTTCGAGATGAAGTGGAGAAGAAACTCGATCACGAAGATGGTGCCAGTGACCTTGAGTTGGGCGCCATTCTCGTGCAGCGGCGTGCGGCGGCACGGCAGATTCGGAACGTTCTTCTTCGGGGTAAGGTAAACTCCTTGATGAATAAGCCCCAACATAAGAGGATGATTCAACATATATGTGTTTAAGTCTACGTTGCTGGATCACGTCGAAATCCGACCTGGGACGGAATGGGCGAAATGAGCGACCCCGAGCCATTTGTGAGAAATGGCCTTCAGTGGTAGGAGGATGTGGGAGGTATATTTATGAGTTACACTGCATATGTCCACTATACTACTCCATGGAAATATTGTTTTAGAGAGGTGCTCACATGAGTAGAAAGAGATCCAAAAATGGCATTCTTTGCTATCTGCACGAGTTTCAAGTTGCGTTTCACACACTTGGAGTGCGGCTCACCCCGATCACAGCAGTGCGGCTCACACCGAAAACATGCAGAGAAACTTTCGGGGGACACTTCGTCGCAAAAGCCCTGGAAACGACCATGTTTGAGGAAGTCTACGGATAGTCCGAGAGAGGTCCGAAGACCTCTCTGGCACATGAACATCTTGCGAAAGGGGTGCATGTAACACCTGGAGCTTCCTGATTCAAAACTCGAATACCACAACCCGCAAGAACCACGGCATACCACGCGGCCGCCGCTAGCCGAGGGGTTTTCCACACTCCGAAAAGAATCCATGATCTATAAGTAAATTGTATATCAGTAACTACACATGGGGAAGTTCTAGCTGATAGTTGTCGGCATGAAGCAACTTGGTCTAAGTGATGTCTCCAACACCATCGGCTCTCCGACCGTGTCTGCGCTCATCCTCCGACCGTGCGGCAATCTCCACCAACGTCAGGCTGGAGCGCGCTTCGACGCCCATCGCTTCGATCTCCGGGATCGATTCCAACCTGCGGTGGTTCCACCGGACCGGAGCACCGGGGACTCTCCGGGACGGTGCTGGGTGTGTCGGGTGGCGAACGGACGAAAAGAGGCATCCAAACCGTTGTTTGGAACGTCGCAGTGAGGGAGAGAGATGGACCAAGAGACACATGGAGTTGGGCTTTTGGTCCCATCCAGGGGCCGTGGATGTGACAGGGGCACCCCTGTCCTCCAATAGGCACTCCCATCCCATTGTTCCTGGTCCAAGCTGAACATTCACATTCCATACACCCATTGTCATCAGCCCTGGCAGCACGTTTTCCAATGACCCGTCCACCGACCGCCCCACTGGCCCACTGGCCCAACCCCCGCACGCGCGACTGGCCGAGCGAGCATGTCCGGTCGACCGGATCTCTTGACCTCCGACCCATCCAACGAAGTGTTTGTTCCCATCCAACTGCAGCTCTGACGCATGGTGTTGCAAATGTTGATGACCAATGCTGCTTGTGCCAGTGCCATGAACACGCGGCCCAACGAAGTCTGCCGCCGCAAGAGTCCTCGGCGCCCCTTCGGAGCGACGAACTCCGTCGGAGCGACCGTGGCACAAGCGACGTGACTGGTCTGACTTCATCCTATTTTTCTTTGGTATATACACCGTCCAAGTTGTCAATCCAAATCTTGGGGCTTCCCACCAGCTAGGACCCAGTTTGGATTCCCACCAGCTTGCAGTCTCTGTTCCTCGTTCCTGTTCAACAGCTAGAGTGGAAGAAAGTCCCCCAAACACCCCCTGAAAGATAGAGCTGTTCCACTTCTGTGCGATTCCACCTCCTCCTCTTCCAAAAAGAAATGGGACTAACTATAACCTTAGGTTGTTGTTTATTTCTGGGTGAAATAGGTTAAGTGCATGAATTCTACCTCGTGCCCAGTTTCTTTGGTTTCTTTGGTTTCTCCCAAACACCAAACACCCGCTGGCCGCCAGGCGACGTCGGGCAGCCTTGGCCATGCTCACCTGAGCAGGTTTGGGCACTGGCACGCCCGGCACGGCTCGATTCCGAAACCTGTTAGGACCTTCAAGGTGACCTTCAATTGGACCAGGATCTCAAGTTAGGCCACTTCTTGAAGCGTCTGTTCAGTTCCTGAGTCCTAAGGTCCTGGGTTTTGGCGGGCTGATTCCAAGAGGTCTGGACCTAGGTCGCCATTCATAAACACGTCTAGACCAGCCACCAGCTCATGCCCCGACGGGGCAATCTGCGCGACATGGAAAGAAGAAGCTCCGTCTTTCACAGAATCTACCCACCAAATGATCTGAGCGTTTTCCGGAACCTCTTGAGCTACTTTTGCTTCTTCGTGAGGCAAGGTTCAGGTCTCCAAGCAGTAAATCCCATGGAACTGGTTCAGCTGGTTTCATGGCCCTTCAAATCCTACCAGCAGGAAAATGTCCATGACTACCATATGACATAGACTGCCGGCAGCTCCACCGCCCAAAATAACAGAACTGCAGACTGCAGCAGCCACACGGAAATCAACAACCAACGATCACAAATGTCAAGAAAAAAAACACGAGACCAGGCTGATGGGCAGACTTACAATATTGATTCGTCTTCTTTCTCAACACCCAGCTCCACCCGGTTCCGGCCGCCCCATTACGCCTGCTGCGGCGGTTCCGGCTGTGCAGCCTCCAAACGCCTCCGCCGCGCACGGAAGCGGCGCTGGAGCACGCAAACCTCCAAGGGCAGCGGAAGCGGGGCAGGATGGTGCTGCCAAAAACTGCCCGTCATGGTAATTGGCAGCTAGTTGAGCACAACAGTGTTTGAACACTACATTTGTTTAATCTATCTATCTGTCTGTCTATCTATCTGTCTGTCTATCTATCACTCACTCTATGTATCTGTCTTTCTCTCTCTATCTCTATCTCTATCTATCTATCTATCTCTATCTCTCTCTCTCTCTATCTATCTGTCTATCTATCTCTATCTCTATCTATCTCTATTTCTCTCTATCTCTATCTCTCTCTATCTATCTATCTATCTAAACTATCTCTCTATATATATATGTGTGTGTCTCTCTATCTATCTTTCTCTATCCCTCTCTCTCTCTATCTACCTATATCTATATCTATATCTATCTCTATCTCTCCCTCTCTATCTATCTATCTATCTATCTATATGTATCTACAGTTATTTCTTTGTTATCTTATCCATCAACGGTTATTTCTTTCTTATCTTATCAATCAAATCAAATCTGTATCTAGCTATCTGTCTATGATTACCTGTTCCACTACCTATTGCGTATCTATATCTATATCTATCCGGGCATGCCTCCGCCGCCTCACTGGTTAGTTTATGTAGGGCACTGTAGGAGTTATCAGTGCAGCCCATCATAGGCACCGCATGAAACTGGGCCACTCGCGACCCGGGAGGGCAGCTGGTGCGAGCCCCGAGCTCTGGCTGAGAGTGGCAACGTGTCGGATCTTTGGTTCATCATGAATGACTCTTGGCTGGCCGCTCGGCGTCCCAACCCAGACCGAGCCGGGCACGCCGGGAGAATCGATGGTACTCAAACCCACCACCTCATGGCACCAGGATACCTTACACGGTATCTTGCAGTTCACCTACCCAAAGGTTTTTCGCTACATGGTCGAACTGGGCTCCAGTTTTTGACCCGTCCTCAAATCTCCGTGCGTGTTTTGATTTTTTTTGCTTTGCCTCCTGCCAAGCCAAGGCACGGCCATGGCCATGACGCGCAAGCGCTCCTCTTTGGCCTCGTGGCGTTCCTGGGAGATCTTGGTCTGGGCGCAGATCTGCGTCCCCAAGGGCAAGAACATGGCTCAACCCTCCCCCCAAAAAAGTAATTACCACCAGCACCACCACCACCACCACCACCACCACCACCACCCAAAGGTTGGTTTATAGACCCCCCCTGGCGATCTAGTTTCCATCTAACAACCACCCTATGGGTGGTGCTGGTATATAAAGTTGCTTTTCCATGTTTCAGATATCGAAACATGTTCACCACTGCACGGGGTTTTGCGGCTCATCACCTCCTGGAAGGAGGCAACCAACTGATGATGTTAGTCTGGCACACTCGCAGGAAATGCTTCATGGGCATGCCGCCTCCTGCCCTGCACTAGCTGGTGCAATTTGTTTGGAAGGAAGAAGGCCATGAGACATGTCAGCTTGAAAAGCAGTGGCATTGCTCTGACCTTGTCATCGGCCACTGCTTCCATCCAGAAAACATGATAATACGTGTTAATATATGAGACCCAAAGATACCCAAAGGACAATCGGAGACCTTTAACAGTTAAAAGTAGTGCAGGGTGCAGGGCTGTCCATTGGCAACCCCTTGGAAGCAGTTGGTATGTATGATCTATTTTTGACCTCTTGCCACACTGATATATCTATACACTACTCTGATCCGCTTGTTGCTGTGTTTCTTGGTCCCCACGCCCCGCTCCGCTCCGCCTCCGCCTCCGCCCTCGCCCAGGCTCCATGGCACGTTGGGCGCCCAAGTACTCCACGAAGCCGCCAGCGAAAATCCCGGTGAAGGTGCCTGGCGATGGACAGGACGGGACTCGAGTGACTCGACTCCCTCCTGAAATTGGAGGTGACAGGGCTAGCGAGCTAGCAGCCTGCCGCAAGGATGGGGAAAAAACCTGTCTTTTGCTTTGGTGGTGGGAGATTCATGGCCACTTAAGCTTGCGATGACCTGGAACGATGACGGGCACATTCATCAAAAGGACGACTGAATTCAAATGTCACACGTCACAAGGTGGCCCTTGCATTCACACTTTAAACAACGAAAATAATCATGTCGAACAAGAAACAATAATGTTCAACAAAAGCAATCTGTATATACATCATATCTATAATGATGGTTAGGTTGCAGGCCTTTCTTAAAAATAGTGATAACCCTTTATCAAATAGGTAATGGGACACGCACCATCTCTGTCTCTCTCTCTCTCTCTCTGTGTCTATGCATGTAAATATATGTAAAAACATATATCATATACCCTAGGATTCCAACCTGTTTTTATTACCAAAGAACCATTGTTCCACTAAGGATTTTACAACAAAACCAGGTCAACCATTCCTTTCACCTTTAATGGTCCTGGAAGCTTAGGGTATATGCATATCAAAATATGCACACATGCTTGTTGATTGTTCCTGTTTGCTCACTCTCTGGCCACCCTCAATCGTTTTTTCCGGTGGGTGGTTTCCAGGGAGCGGCCCGGAGAGTCCGATTCCCAGGGGAACTCTGCTGACTCTGACCCAAGTCCATGATATGTTCCATGTTCGGCGGAAACCGCATGAGTGCCATCTCCGTCCGTTTCTTGAGGGGGCGGTGTCCAGGTCACTTGGTTTCTGCGCGGAAAGTCAAGACCAGCGGCCCTGCAAGACAAAGTAGACTCCCTCAAGAACCTTTGAAACTGTTTGAGCCTTTGGGTCCATGAAGATCCATGAAGTTATATGAAGTACCTTACTTCACCACTCTGAGAAAGCAACACACTTGTTTTTTTTAAACCCAGCTATACGAGTATTTGTCCAAAGGTCCCTTCTCCCATCTTCTCCCCCTCCAACTCTTATGCCAGGTGTCCAGTGCAGCACATCCCCAAAATCAAGAACACCTCGCCGGAATCAGTGCGGTGTCCGAAAAACAACATCATCAAACCATGCGTTTCACACCCCGTCCACCAGCACTTACCGAAGTGTCGGATTCAGCAAAGTCGAAGTCAGGTACCTGGACCCTCCAAACAGCAAAAACGGCCAGACAATACCGCATCAAGCGGAGGGTCGATGGGGGATTATTGCGGTGATTCACCAATGCTCTCGGTGGGACGGGTTGATTCAGAAGTGGCCCCCGGTGGGTTCATTTGCTGAACATGGCCCAGGTGATGCAGGTGTAGTGAGCAAAGAGAACTGAAGAGCCGGAGATAGGTGGTGGGCTTGCCGCGCATCAAAATGGGACTCGGGTTCTAGTATATATAGTCTAGTATCAAATGCTCTCAGCAAGATTAGGAACAAAACATGGACAAAAAGAAGTGTAGCAAAGGCTGCTTCACTCGTGACTTTCGACTTTCCCAACTTCCTCAACGCTTCCGAAATGACCGACTAGAGTGGCACAAGGCACAAGCAGCAACAAAAGGCCCAGTCTACTGTGACAATCTCACAGAACACCCTTCCATGTTCTTGCGAAACCAATTGCGCAATAGAAAGCAATCATTAATCCTCAACCTCCTAACGGCCACTCACAGATTGGAGGCCATTGCTGCTAGGTAAATCCCCAACCTAGTAGCAGGGCCACTTTTTCATGTCCAGCATGAGCATATCAAACATGTTCAAAAGCAGCCCAAGAGATCAAAGAGTCGAGTGATTTTTTGGGGCAGCAGCGCATACTGACCGGGGAAGATCATGACGACAGAAGCCAGCAAAGGTTGCCAGCATGAGCGTCACAGCGATCAACCACATCAACGCGACCAAAAGGCCAAGTGAAATGGCATCGCCACGCTTCGATACTCGGTGCACGGGTAGTCCTGACCGAGCTGAGTGGCTTCCGGACGAGGAGGACAGGCGTCGAGGACTGCAGGACTTTGAGATGGGTTTTGAGAAACCAATGCTTGGGACCATCACCCGAATTTTATGATATATTTTGGGTCTATCCATGTCTATCCCGCCAGTAGCAGTGGATGATGATGGTTGCCAAAAGCTCTTGTTCAAACATACTGATAATTGGTTACAGAATGTTACAGGAAGTAGGACAGACCTAAGTGATATTATAATGTGTATGGAATATGTACCAAGATTGGCTCCCGCCATCACCCCCAAGTGATCCATGTGCCATGTCCCATCTGTCATGGAGTGTCTGGGGGGCTGGCAGTGGAGTCACAAGCCCTGAGGTTCTGTGCGCCTTCCTTCACGTGGATCCTCCGGTTGGGAACATAGGACCCGCTCAAGATGAACACTGAAGATCAAACAAAAACAGCATGCGAGCTGATTACTCTATATAATAAGGTGTAAAGAGTGTATATAACATAAATTATATACATGCAGGTTGGCCGTGATGGTCTTCAAATGTCTTCAGCTTGTTGTTCCTCTTTGCTTCGCCGTGCGCTGCCAAGGGTCTCCAGTCAAATGGATCAATCCGTGGGGCAAACCGACCAGGACATTGGCGAAGCGCTCCGAGACATCGTTGTTCGAGTCCTGCTGCTTCCCGTGATTTGGGCGGAATGCACTCCGAACGCGGAGTAGAAACGACTGGTCTCCCATCGAAGGCTGCAGTTTCCAAACTGTTCCACTTCAACCTGAAAAGAAGGTGGGCTGTTGCCGTTGCTCTTTCAACCGATCACAAACCATCAATGCGCGATGGAAGAGCTTTCAAAGTTGACATCATGCGTCTGAGCAGTGCCACAGCTCCATGGAAAAAAAAACCGTAGCAAGCACTATAGAAAAAAACATGCTAGTCTGGCGCACCATGCTAGTCAGGTGCCGAATCCGGAGCAGCTTCCGCAGCTACAAATCCGTCAGCCTTCTCAATGACATAGAGGCAAACCGTGAACATGTACCTGGAAGGTGAAAGAAAGGCTTGCTATGAAGATCGCATGGCTCTGTACATGTCCACACGTGTGAAAGTGTAATAACATCTGTAAACATTCTCTTGAATTTTCTAGAACCACAAATGAACCAAACCCGCCAAACACTTGGGATATCTCGGACCATGGTGGTGCTCATGCATTGCTTGGAGCACCAAACAGCCACCAGCGCGTAGCAGGCCTGGCGGGAGTCGCCAATCAACCATCGGGTCAAAATAGAATTTAATTTGTGGATAGTGGTTTCAGAGTAGATGGCAACAATCCTCAATGTCAGTGGTTTAAATGGAACCCCATGTGTTGGGTTTGTGCCATCATCTACTCTGAAATCACTATATCTCCACTTGTGATATTTACTGATAGATTCTTCCATCCTTTTCCTTTTCGTATGCCATCAGTCGATGTTTCATGACATCTGAATGAACACAGCACATCCGTCCACGTTACAATCAGTGCTCACTCTGTACTCCGTCGCATTTGCATCCAAAACACCCAGTTCACACCTGTATCGTTCACCAAGAAAATCCCTTGAGCCAACCGGCTTCATAATTGTATGTTCAATCTCTCCAAAATCTAAACTGCACACTAGCGCAGTGTTTTTGCTCATGTGTTGCATGAAAACACATCTCCATCATCTCCCAGGAGCACCAAAGTATTGGGAAAAACAACAACGGTCCCAACTTCGGACCGGCTTCCTTCGTCCTCCGTCCACCGTCCGTTCCGGTCACCGTTCGTTCCGCGGAACCGTCCGGCCTTGCGCAGGGCGGGCGCCCGGATCCATACCACGTCGCCCAGCGACTGCAGCGCCGGAGTCCACGACCTGCGGCGCTCGGTGGACGTGGTGCGTCGGGCGCTCGGTACGAAGTCCATGGATGTGTCAGGGAGATTCGTGGCCTCCCAAGCTGCAAGGCCAGGCCACCAATCCCTTTTGTTGAAGCTGAAGCGGATGACATGGCATCGTGCGGCAGCCGATGGAAACTCATAGGAAAACGAAACAGCCCCCCCAAAAATGGCCAACGAAAATCCGCCGGGCCATACGCAGGTGAACATCGAAGGGCCCCGGTGTGAGGAGCTCTGCACCGAAGCTTGTGGCCAGCCCTTGGAACGACCGGGAGCCCGCTGAAGCCCATGTCACCAAACACATAGAACGCGCTTTTCGTGTTATCCCCGTGTCTGATTCTGGGTAGGGGCTCCTTACCCCCATTTTTTCCATAAGCCTGTCAGGTGTATATATGCACACACCCCCCAGTTTCCCGCTATAAAATAGACCCCTGACGTCCTCCACCAGGAGGGTCAAAAAAAAAGGTTTTAGAATGTTTTAGATATTTTAAGTAGGAGGGCGGATGGCAAGAGGATCTTTTTGATCCATCTCAAGTGTCTCTTGCCGAGGCGAATCTCCACAGAACTGCCCTGGCTTCTGTGCAAAAGGGCACCTCTCCCTCCCTAAGTGGCCGGTGTTCTGAACGCCCACCACGCTCGCATTGGTCCTTCGCATTTGACTCCCAGTGGCTCCAGCATCATGAGCCGCATCAGCCGCAACGTCAAAATGAGATCCACCCATGCGCGGCTCCAGGCTGGCGTCGCTCCATTTAGCGAGTCGACGGAAGATCCCGTCGAGTCGTGTCGACGGAGGTGGTCGCCGGGCGCCCATGGGGGGGGTTGCTGGGTCACAAGTCCTTCAAAGGTCGTTGGCTGCACGGTGCAAAAAGGTCTGAAAACCAAACTCTTGCAATATCATGCAATATCTGCTTTGTGGTTGGTGTGACCCAGGGGCTTATGCGTGAAACATGATAGGACAAAGCTTGTGGCGAGATTTCTTTGGGGAGTCTTGGGTCTGAACAAAAGGTGTCAGCTTGGGTCTTGCGCAGCTTGGCAGCTTTGGCGAGGCGCCAAAAAGAAGATTCAAACTTGGAACAGGTGGCTCGCATCGCAAGTGGGATGACTTTTTCCAAAAGGCCAACATCTTGCTTGGAATTGCACACACAATCACAAAAAGGTGGCGTTTTGGAACTGAGTGGATGTGACAGGGGCACCCAACTCCTTCCTCCGTTCGCGGAACGGCACCCCACTCCTTCCTCGGAACTACTGGTGAGACCGACTCAGAAGAACTATGCCACACACTCTTAGAAAAACAAGGGCATCGCTACGAACGGAGCAAGAAGCTAGTCGTAGCTTAGGAGCATTACTACGAAGTTACTAGGCGCACGAAAATGCTACGAGTAACGAGAGGCCTTCGTTCGTCGCGTCCGAACGCTCCGTTCGGGTCCGATGCGAAGGAGCGCCGTTCGTCGCGTCGCGCAGGACGGCTCACCCAACGGTCGAGGCGAGTGAAGCCGCACGTACCGCGTGAAACGCGGCGCATCAGGTTAGAACGGTGAAGGACCTTTTCCACCCTGGTGAAAAAGAGGTACACATCGGGTTTTGGGTGATCCACTCTGTCTTCCTGAATGTAAGACACTCTTCCTTTTGAATTCAGGAAGACACTCTTCCTTTTGAATTGAACACCTCTTATTTATGTGGGGGGGGTTATGCTCTTCGGGACGGAAGCCGAGACGGCCGAGAAAAACATGGACTGACCGACGCTCCTTTTGATTCATTTATATCAAATAGTAGTTTACCATGTGATTACCCAGCGACAAGTGTTTGTTTGACAGTTTTTCACTAAGAAACTGGGTCACCCTTTGATGAATGGTCTGGAAGGCTACGGTTTACCTACATTGACCTTTGAAACATCTTAAAATCACCCTAGCTAATGTACGCAAATATTCCATACATGAATTGTTCGGGCGAAAACCTTCTTCTAACTGATCTTCTGACTTATGACTTTTCCCCCATGCGAGTGGTGCATCTTACCACCACTTCTAAGCAAGCAAGACGATCAGAAAGTGAGCAGCGAAACATCTTCTCCCACCTTCCTTTCATTGCCCCCGGGCCTTTGAGTTCGTAATTGGGATGAAGACCCTGGTCGTGCCTGCGGGGAGAACACCGGAAGTTGCTTTTGTTCTGTTCTTTTTGGCACAAGATAGCATGGATCCACTCAATAAGGACTTGGTACCCGGATGTGTCCAGTAACTGTAGTGGCGACACGAAAGCAAGAAAGCACCTGAACGCACGCGGTCCGTTGTACAAGGGTGCTCCTCCCCTCATGTCGTCCAGTCACGCATGCCCAAAACGGATCACGGATCGTCCGGATCGTTGTCAAAACTGGACAATAACGGTCAAACCGCGTCATAAAACAACACCAAGCACAGCAAAGACGCTGTTGAGTTGATGTCCGGTCCTTTAGGTCCATTGCTTGGTCCCAAAACCGTCCAGTTGTTCCGTGCTCTTCCGTCCGGGAAGCGCGCTCCTGGCGGGCGTCAAGGTCCACAGAAAGGCTGAGAGAGACAGCACATCGACCCATCCGATGAAGGAGATCAAGTAGTTCCCCCTGTCATCTGATGGCGGCAAGACATCTCAAAACATCTCAAGACATCTCAATGACTCAAGATGGTCTAGCAGCAGGCCCGTTTTTTTTGTTCAGATGGTTTTGTTTTTTTGATAGTTGATGGTTGCTCGAAGACCAAACGGGTTTGGAGTGGATTCTGCCCCGAGGGGAGGCTCTCGGAGATTATGAATTGGCAACAAATGCCGCTTTGAACTTCAAGCTTCACCAACACTGACGTACTTCAATGTTTCCTCCCATACATCTGCAAATGAAACCTCTCTGGCCAAGTAAATGGTGCAATTCCTGAGTTCCGAGAGGGGGTTTGGGGGCAAGCCGAGTTTCGGCAGATGATTGTTCCCTCAGACCCCTCCATCGCTGCGCTGAACAAATGCCTGAGCACCACCACGCGCAACAGGAACTCGATGATGAAGAATACCGTCCTTGGAGATCGGCTGCAGCAGGCCAAACCAAAGAGACACGGCCGGGTGTCCCGAAGTGGAGTCGGTCCTCCAACCAAAGCATGCCGAGGGTACTGCCGAGGGTATCCGAGTGTCAAGCACACCATTGAGCCTGCCTTGTACCTTGTGGAAAGTAATCCTCCACTGCTCCGGAGGATCTCCGGGCATCACAAAGCCATACCCTGTGGATCCCTATGTGAACATCAAACAGGAAGAACGCACTTGGCCCTTTTTGGCCGCCACTTCTGGTTGCCCTGCTTCAAGCTCTTGTACAGCATCCGTTGCGCCGCCATGGCCGAGTTCCTCGGGGCGGACGCTTCGGACGGTTCCGGAAGCTTCCGAACAGAGGGAGTCCGGGATGGTCCGGGAGTGTTGGTATGGGGGCTGGCTTATTTGACCAGTCCCATGACTATATACTATTTATACTACTATTTATGGGGAACTCAGTTCTATAGACATGACTTCTGTAGGACTGGTCCTGGGCAGGGTGTTGGGTGTTGCGTATCTTCGTCTATATGCCCATTGAGCCGTGAAATCGAGACCAAGAAAAAGTTGGCAGGTGGGTGACCTGTTTATTGTCGGGTGCTGTTGTAATCAATGAAGATGCTTCCCAGCCCTCTTTGGTATAATCCAAGATCAATTAGTCAGTCATTCAATCCCATCTGCAAAAAATCGGCGTCACCCTGGTAGTGTTTTCATTCCAAATGTCTGGAAGTTCCGCAGTTTTCCCCCCAAAAAATCACCCCTTCCGCCACCCCGCCCTGCGCTCCTGCGCACCCGAGGTCACCGTACTCGTCCGGGCACCCGTCGTGGGCACCGGTCGTCCGAGGTCCCGCAAAAAGCGCCCTTCTCCGAGCGTCCGGTGCTCCTGCAGCTCCGAGGCCTTCAAGTTGGGTCGTTGGAGGTCCTGGAGACCAACGGTGGAAGAACCCGAACGTTCGGCTATCCCAGTTCGGCTATCCGTGACGGGTCCTAGTTCAGGTCACTGAACCTCTGTTGGAAGGTCGCTCGGGGTCGTTCAGTGTCGCGGAGCGAGCGTGACCGGGAGCGACGTCACGCTCGGTCCAACCCCCTGAGAGGAGGGCAC